CAATGGCATTGTGGTTCATGTTAGCAGAAGGTCAAGAAAATGTCTAATCTCTTCATTTAAATTCAGTTCAGTGTATTGACATTGTAGTCGTTGGAATTCAATCATTTCTAAGATATTCTTTGGAGGGATTTGTATGTTGGAGTCTTTGCTGAAATTACAAAGATAATTATTTTGTATTAAGAAGATAGTATTGGTCAACAAAAGCTGAAAAGTCTTAATCGTCAGGGGTGTGGCTCACTAGTCTAGGTGCTTGTTTTTCCGTCTGAGGATTACGTGTTAGAATTCCGTTCCACCAGTCGAACTCTGAGTAGACAGGTGACATCACTAGCCCTCACACAATGGGTGTGGTTCATTGTCTACTGAATAAGCTTGAAACGAGTGAAATTTTTATTCTTAATGTTCATAGGCATTATCTGCAAAAACATAGAAAGTGTGTACTATAGATAGGATCGTTTTATTTCATCTGAAGTTAGTTGGCCTACATCATTCCGTCGGGTCGGTAGGGGTTGGTTAGTTATCCTGTTGAGCTGAACAGTTACTCGATATCCATTGCTAAGAATTTATTGACAGTCTATTGACTTTTAGGTTATCGGTACTTGTTCATTGATGGTGAGATCCTATTTTGTTCTATTTCAGTTTTTGTTCATGTAATTGTTCATTGTCTTAGCAACTATATATATATATATATATATATATATATATATATATATATATAGCCGTTCTGCTTGAAAATTTGTTCTTTATCTTGGTGTTTACTTCGCTTGGTTCTAAGGATAGTCCGGTCTTCAGTGCATTGACATATTTTAACTATCGTTGAGGTGTTGAGCAAAATGTCACCTTTGCTCCCCTTTCAGTATTTATGTAACTAGAAACCAAAACAATCAATTTTTCGCTTACATATACGATTAACGAATGTTACCAAGAAGTTTACACTTTATAGCGTATTCACGTACACTATATCTGCATGGAAGCATCAGTAATCAAAAGCTTTTTTTGGCTGTTTTCTGAGAACTTAGTAGCGGCAGAATGAAACTCTATGAGATGGAATGTCTGCCCTCTAAATTTATCTGCTGAATTCCCTAATTAAAAGATATTATATTACACAGGTGTGGCTGATATCTCTAAGTATTCTGCTAGGGAATAAAAACACAAAATATTTTCTCTGCAACTTTGAATAAATTATATTGAGGCTTTTAGATTGGAGTCAGTTTTAGTCTCAAACTGATTCTACTTACTTTTACCAATCAGCCGAAAGCATGATACTCTCCTGTTTTTATGCATATTGGAGCAACGTGGTGACTGGAAGAAAAAAACTAGAGGATCTAATTGAATATCTTACGGCTTTTCAATTCGTAGGTCTATAAGGATTAGTTGATTTCAAGATGATATTCTTCAAAGACTGAAATTACTTAGAGAACCACTGGACAGCCGTTTCATCGCAGAATAAGACTACTTATTCATACACACATAACCCAGTCAGGAGTTGAGTGCAGGACAGTTGCATCTCTCGACCAGTGCGTTAATAATTTTTAACTTAAAATCCAATGGTCCACGTTCTCTTACTTCTGCCAGTTCAAAGTAGGAGTCAGCTAGGTCGAACATGAGGACAGAAGCTCAACAACAGCATTGGATGGAGGTCACGCTTTATCGTCAACTAACAGAAAAATGAAATATGCACCACCGGATTCTGACCCACTGGATCAACGTTAACATGCTGACCAAGCAACCAGAAGGTCCTGGGTTTGATCCCTTGTGAGATGACGTCATAGATGCTCACTGTTGAAGTGTCCCACAATAAGGCCAGACGGCTGTCCAATGCTCCTAGAACCCTAGTGATTCTCTATCTGACGTCAGTTCATGATGAATACCAGCCTGAAATCTAGAAATATTGTTGAAGTCTGTAACATCTACATCCATGTTGACTCGTAGTAGGACGGATCAAGAGGCAGACATGTAAACCATCACTTGTTTGTCTTCGTTCCAACCAGAATATTCTAATGACTTTCAGTTGGAAAAGTGGAACTGAAATAAAGTGGTCCCTTCACATTTTCGTCCAATTTTTACATTTCTCAAATGTTAACCACACCCTATCTGCAGGTGATTTTTTGAAGCCTTTTCATGTTACTTTAATCATTTTTAAGTAGCCGAAATATAAGAAGAAAAGTCTTTTCATCGCATGGAAACAAAATTTGTGAAATGCTCACTTAACCAGGATAATGCACACATCGTTCATCTGAAAGAGAACGGCTGGAAACTGTATGATAAATAAGTAATTGAGTAATGCCACATGAAAAATTCCAGCGATGTAACTTATGGACAGATGTGTAGAATTTATAACCCGTGTGTTCGCAGAACACTGCTTTCAGACTTCACTTTAGCTGGTCAGGTCATCTACATTATTCTTGCTATGTACTCTTCAAACTCAGGTTTCCCTTGAAAGATTCAGAGGAAGGTGTTGAAACACGTTGTTCCAGAAAACAACCTGACTGACTGACAGGCTGGTGAGAGAAACGGATTTCCATTAGTGGACGACAGACACTATCGAGTTTTCCGTAGTTATCGGTGATAGTATTTAGAAAGGAAGGTGTAAGAAGGATAGACCAACTCTCGAATTATAACTTATGATCCAGTGGGCTGGCATGATGGTAAAAACTGCCAATAAGGAAGTCGAATGAGAATATATCTGACCTTTTTAGGTTGGTAGGATCACATTTTGTAGTGCTTAACGTGGAGTTCTTCATTGGTTTCTCCATGTCGATCACACACACACACACACCATTTCAACTATATTTATGTATTTATTTATTTATTTATTTATATAAAAGATTTGAACTTCGCCGACGACTTACGTCTAATGTGACACAAACCTGAAGATCTACGGGCAAAAACCAACAAGTTGACGGGAGAGGCAGGGAAGCAGGGAAGATGGAACTTCAAGTGAATATAGAGAAGACAGAGGTGGTGAAGATACCCAACAAACAGCAACAACAACACCTACAACAACAACAGCAACAACAACAAGCTCCAGTCACTATGAACGGAAGAAACTTAAAGGCAGTTACCTGCCTCACCTATCTAGGTAGCACTGTTCCAACTGCAGGCGGCGGCACAGGCACAGACGAGGATGTCAAAGCCAGCCAGAATCGGAAAAGCAAGCAAGACAGGCGTTCGTTAGCCTGAAACCAGTGTGGAGATCTCCTGCACTCAACATGTGGAACAACATCCGGATTTTCAACACCAACGTCAAGTCAGTGCTTCTGTATAGCTCAGAGACTTGGTGCGTTATGAAAGGGGTTTCCAACAAACTGCAGATATTCATCAGCAAGTGTCTACGCTGGCTCGTTACTGAAGCTCAGATGAGATGACCAGAATAACAGGAATCAGCAACAAGGAACTCTGGCCAGGCCACGAACCAACCAAGTACCTATCACCCAACAAGTATGCATTGGAAGGAAGTGGGGATGGATTGGGCATGCACTGAGTAGACCATTCAGGGACACCAGGCACCAGGTGAGGCACTCGAGTGGAAGTGGAATGGGAAGCGAGGAGTTGGGTGTCCTGGCTGAGGATGACATGGGCGAGATTGTGCGAGGAGGAAATGAGATCTTGTGGGCTGTCGTGGAGCCAGGTTCAAAATATTTCAGAGGACATAGCGCACTGTAGATGTGCTACTGAAGCCTTATGTTCCATTAGGAACCCAAGGGACTAATGATATATAATAGTAGCAGTGTTCAGATGAGTGGGTGCATAAACGAGCTGGTTTCAGCCAGCAGCCGGTAGACATGCATTTTTTACTGTTCGTATTTGTGCCTTGACTTGATGGATGTATCGGAGTTTAGACAGCTGTGTACATTGGTCAATAATTTAGATTAAAAGGATGTAATTACCTCCCATATGTTGTTTTTGACTGTTAGTGAAGTTGTACTTGGATAAATAATCTCTTGCCTACAGAATGAAGTTCTTATGATAAACCATTGTTTTACTTTTATGTGTCTATTATATCAGCATATATCTGCCAACTCAGGTGAATCTAGTTAACAGTCTACAGATATTTCAGCAGTCGAACAATTTTGCCCAATAAGAATTCCCCCTTTAATGAAATTGAAAAAAGAGTTATGCTCACTGTGGACTTTCTTCACGATTAAATCCTAGAAGTTCTAACGGGAAGTCATGACTGTTGGGATCAATTAAGTTGGACATCAAGAAAGTTATTCAGTGACAGTGTTAGATGAAGGTCCAGGTACGTCGTGAGTTGAGTAGAGTTATCCCCGCTGAACCTGAAGGTCATGGGTTCGATTTCCGTTGGGATCATGGGTATACACTGTTGAGGTTTCCCATACTAAGAAGGAATAGCTGCCTACTGCTCCAAGATTTCCAATGGTTCTCTAGCAGATGTCAATCCTTGATAAACGTTAACCTGAAATCAATAAAAAAAATCCCCATAAACCTCCAAACCGAGTTGTGATGGAGTTTGGAACAATGATCTGTTGACCAAATAGCTAAAGTTAATATTCTACCTAATTCATTAGTTCTTAGTTTAGTCAAACAGATAAAATTATTTGATTCTTCCAATAGCTTACATTCTGTTCTGTTGATACACTGATGTGTTTTAGCAAACATTTCAGTGTAGGGTATTGAGAGAACTGACTAGTCTTTAAGTCTAAAGGCCTATTCTTGAATGCATAACCTCTTTTGGCAACAGTTGTTTATATTTTTGAGATAATAGAAAATCTTGCTATCCAAAAACCATCGAGAGTACAACCGCTTATCGAAATGAATCAGCTGATAAATTTACCTCAAAGACAATAACAGAAATCAACTATTTTCATGATGGTGCCGTGAATTTTAATAACAAGTTACATTAGTCTAGTAACAAAATAATATTATTTGACTAAAAGTAACTATATATATATATAGAATGAGGTAGTAATTAACTCACAGAAGTTTACTGAATAAAAGACGTTCTGCAACAACGCATATACAACAGAAAATTTCAAAGTCTATTGTTTCATAATCCTTTGTTGTATACCAATTAAATTGAATATTAATTCACAACAGCCATTGGGTATTTGTACTGGTATAATATCTTCGAATGCATTATTTAATTTCTATAAAATTATGTGAATGAACAGAAAAGAATTCTTTCGTTTTACTTTCATACTAGTAGAGTTGAAATGAAGCTGTAGCTAGGAATAGAAATGTTCAATAGAATTTCTGATTTTTCGTTCTACTTTGGGATTGTTTAGCTTAGCTTACTGAAGACGTCATGTGAAATAAACGTGTAACGGACATCATCATCCACCTATTTGGATGAAATCTGTTAGTTTGGATTTTCCTGTTTTGTTGAATTGGTGAGTCAGTACTTTTAGTGTCTAGTGTCTTCCATAAGAATCTACTTTGACTCTTGTTTCGTACGAAACTACTGTTATGAGTGGTGGTTCAACAGCCAGTTGTGTTACTGAGACTGGAATAGCAAATGCCTTGAAATAGTGTAGAATATTTTTAGCTTAGGTGGGTTGTCTTGGTTGTGTTGTGTTCTCTGACCTGGGTTGTTTAATCATGAAGCTTCAGTATGAAGTTAGTACTGATGATGTCACTGCCTAGAAAAACGATGAAAGCTTCACGATTAAAAAACCCAGCTCAGAGAACACAACACAACCAAGAGCAAGTACCTTGGCTAATTACTTCTTGTTGTGCTTATCAGTTCAACTGATACTGTGTTACCAGTTATGTTACTCCATGTCCTAGGATTTTAACTTTTTGGGCTAGTGGACATCTCTTAGCATGTGTAAGTAAAAGCTTAATGAAAATTGTTGATAGTTGGCATCAGCTCACTTGGTTCAAATAGACCATATAGCTATTATGAATCGTTTTCCATCGTCTACCGTATCCTTCTTAGTTTACCAAAAACTACAGGGTACATATATACATACTACTACTCCTACTACTACTACCGTGGTCAGCTTTGTAAATGATAGCTCTCAGAAACAATTGACTTTAATCATTCACTATTGAATGGAACAGTATCACCTACATAATTGAACTAAAGAACGAAAAGAGTTCAGTCACCCTGTGCACATTAGTCTTATAATTCAAAAGACAAGAATTACCAAAGAGCATTCACTTCTTCGTCAGATTCTGCAGTTATACGTCCATATTGTGTCAAGTATAGTGAGGTTTCATATAACAGTTTGCCACTGGCATTATATAGTTTGAGATTAACAAATTCCTAAACGTCTGATACTAAATCTCACCTAGTTTTCAACTTCCACGTTGTACATAATTCTCCTTCTCAATAGTGTAAAGTAATTTCATCACACTCTCTTGATCTAATTTGTTCTCTGATATGAGTTACATTTTACTAAGTTAGTAGGCCTCAAATTATCTATCTTTGTTCGTCATATCCTGCTTTCATGTAAAATATTCTATTGTTTTTATTGACTTACGTTTATTTATCCGAATTCATATTCACGCTTTACGACATTCTAAAAAGACCTTTCTGAAGGTAATCATTTTTGTTCATTAGTGACTTACTTCGAGATGACATTTCGCAATGTTTTGATGAGAAATAGTCTCAGGTAGGGCGAAGAATCAAGCCGGATGTGAGGTCAGGTACTCAACAATCAGATTGGAAAAAGGCACTGATATATCATGAGTAGACGGAAGTAGAAAGCTTTGAACCTTTGAACCTTGACCTAGTGACTCAATGGCAATGTTTTTACCGTGAAACCTGTAAGTTATGGTCTAGATCTCCGATGAGGTAATGGTTACGCACTGAGGAGGAATGTCATACCAGAACGAAACGTCTGTTCAATACTCCTAGGTTTTCAGTGTTTCTTTTTACTAATGTCTGTCCACGATGGATGTCAACTTGAATTCGTGTGATGTTCAGTAGTGTTATTGTCAAGGCAGAACTATACATTATAGAGTTATAATTGTAGAATTTGATGAAGTTATTGAAAAGAATATTTTTGTACATAGTAGTGTCTTTATCTGTTTGTGCCATATTTCGAGGGCTATTTTTTCTAACTTATTTCTACTAAATTAAGAATATTGTCTTTAATAACTTTTGTGATCAGGTTCTACAATTACAAACTTCATTTGTGCAGCGTGATAAAATCTAGCCAAGTAGACAGGGGAATATGTTTTCATAATGGAATTCGATATACACACTGTAAGGTGATCGATTTTTCTTTGTAAATTCAAGCGTAAAGATGATGTATATATAGATAAAGCATGTGGTGGCAAATGAAAAGGCAATATATACGTAGGATATGGTTAGCCTTTAGTTTGTTGAAGTCCAAGGGAGAAATTAATTTCAGACATGTCCTTTCTGAATGCTCAGTTCAGATTTGATCAACTTTATTGCGACAGATTCAGGTATCACCTATGAACAAATTAACTGTCTGTTAAGTTTCTTATATAACCTCTTGTTTTAAATACCATATTATTTTTCTTTGACTTTCTGTGAATAAAATATGTAATAGTAACGTCTTAGTATGTTTTGTCAACTTTATTCAAATTCTTGTTGTCTTTACCTCATCATTTCGCTATCAGTTGACTTTGTTTGACTGCATGTACTAAGCTGAAATTATTTCTTTTGCAAATATTAAGATAGGATGGAGGATATTTGTAGGTTAGAAGGATGATTTTGATGGTGCTTTACTCTCTGACCTAGATGGTTTAATCGTGAAGCTTTCATCGTCATCCTAGACAACATCATCAGCACACGATTCAGAAAGAATAAGGCTATAAGGTTTTCTCTACAAATGGCTTACTAGATTGTTCTGATGACTTTGTGTGTTATTGATTTTCTCTGCTAAAATCTCTTCATTATCTCCAGACTACCATTTTAAATTTGTCGTCCTATCGACGTGAACTTTGACCTTCCTGGTGCTTCTTGTATTTTTTATTGGTTGTATCAATGTCAATATGTCTGTTGATCTGTGACTGACCTGAATGTCAAGCTTCAAAGTACTCTCTGGTATTTTTTGTATTTCCTATATCCAGGACTTTTGACATCTTCATAGTCAAACTGATGTCCACATTTTTCCGTATAAGCAAAGAAATATCAAAGCTTAACTGCTAGTTGATGTTCACGTAGACGAATACGAAGACGGCTACCAATCTGTCCAATAAACTGTTCTTTGCAGTTTCTACATATTACTTTGTGCATAAAGTTTGATTTGCCTTCCTTTGATATTACAGAGAGTGAAGTGATTTTGTTTGTTTGTGAGCTACAGTGACTCTATAAGGTTTCATTAATCTAGTTAAGATATCGGATACATTTGTTGATTTTACAGGCTGACTTTTGGTCGACGATGAATTAGTTAAGCATCTTTTAATGAACTTGCGTGAATAGCCGTTATTTTGGCGTAAGATTAGTGTATTAAATATTTTGAAGTATATTTTTATACAAATGATATTGTATACTGTTGCCTTGTTGCAACTGTAGTTGAGGATTTGTTCCGTATGAGCTGGTTTTCTGTATACTTCAGTTTCCAATTTCGCCGAATCTGTTCTAGTGATCATAACATCTAAAAACGCAAGTTCATGATTTGATTCTTCTTCCATTGTGAATTGGATGTCATAAAAAACGTTAATGATTAATTTATAATTTGATGTTTAGGTGAAATAAGTCTGACTACTTCAGTTTAATGAGTGGTATTATTTATAAAAATGCTCTGTCTACTATCATTCATGATCTTCCTGATTGTGGTGGACTGGATTATGCAGCGAACCATGAGGAGCGAGAAGACAGGCATACGCTGGACCGGGGAAAAGATCCCAGAAGATTTGGATTTCGTCGATGACTTGTGTTTGGTGTCGCACAAACTCGGAAATCTAAAGGCAAAAACTAACAAGTTGACAAAAGAGGCAGAGAAGACGAGGCTTCAAGTGAATGTGGAAAAACTGAGGTAATGACAGTAGCATCAACAACAAGAGGCATCAATCACCATTAACGGGAGAAACCTAAAGGAGGTAGTCTTTTTCAACTACCCACCTGTGCAGCATCGTTTCAACTACAGGCGACACAGACACAGACAAGGATGTCGAAATTGGGACCGGAAAGGCAGGACAGGCTTTCATTAATCTGAAACCAGTGTGGAGATCTACTGCACTGCACTCAGACCAAAGACCAAGATCCTGATTTTCAACACCAGCGTCAAGTCAGTGCTACTTTGTGATGGTTCAGAAACTTGGCGCTTTACGAGAAGCACTCTTACCAAACTACAGACAATCATCAACACCTGCTGCCTATGCTCGCTCGTTACTGAAGCTCAGATGAGATGACCAGAATAACAGGAATCAGCAACAAGGAACTCTGGTCGGGTCACGAACCAACCAAGTACCTATCACCCAACAAGTATGCATTGGAAGGAAGTGGGGATGGATTGGGCATGCACTGAGTAGACCATTCAGGGACACCAGGCACCAGGTGAGGCACTCGAGTGGAAGTGGAATGGGAAGCGAGAGTTGGGTGTCCTGGCTGAGGGTGACATGGCGGAGATCATGTGAAGAAGAAATGAAAGCTTCTAGGCAGTCGTAGAGCCAGGTTCAAATGATTACAGAGAAAAGAGTGCAATGAAGGCGTGCTACTGAAGCTCTACGTTCTACTAGGAACCCAATGGACAAATAATAATAATAATAATAATTTATAAAAATGCTGGCAACCAGCCTGTTTACCTTCACTTTATCATAGTACTTGATAATAATGAATGAAAAATTCCCGTATAAGGTGGCCAAACAAAGACATTACAGGAAAGAAAACATTTCAAAAATTTCATTCCAAGTTATGAACTGCCAATGATTTGGCTATACGTGGATAGTACAGCAGAAAGGGGTTTGAAATTTTCATGAGGCACTTTAGAAATTAAGCTGAATGAACTAATTAGTGTTCAGAAATAGAAAAAATTCCATCCCCGGACATCTGATTAATCCTAGAAGTTCCTAGAAAAATAATTCATAGTGTCTCCTTGAAGTCTGATTTACCTTCGACTGAGTCATTCACATATAGCCGGATGATTGGAAATTTACAACTCCAAACCTGACCTTCGTATCGAAAAGCACTACATCCACTCATTGCCCTTACTATGACCAGCGTAGTGATTTTCTTGTCTTTGGAAACTTTCTATTCTACTCTTCAATGTTATAGTAATTACCTGTTGTTATTGACTACCAACAGACTGTTATTTGTTTTCAGTTACATTAAATAAGGTTGTACAGATTTAGTAAAGGGAAGCGTAAAAAAAGAAAACTTCCTTCACTCTTACATCCCTGTTTTACCATATGTTAATAAAAAAAAGATTTGGTTGCCTTCATTTTAAATAATTAGCATGAGGTTTTCTTGAGTCAGCCTTTCCATATACCAATGTTTTGCACCTCTAATATGGACACAAAATATGAATAAAATCCCTTCTTATTGTTCATTATCAAGCCTCATATATTATGCCTTTAATTACTGCCACTCAGTTGTTTTTATTCAATTTCTGATGTGAATTTAGAAAGACAAACAAACTGTTGGGTTATATAACCAAAAGTGAAAACACAAAGTGATAAATACTTACTTCAATAGACAGTCTAGAACTTCGACACCAATGATTGTATATACGTTGGTATAAATCTCGTTTTCTATCTGAGAAGTGTACATACTGGCGTAGATAATCTATAACTGACAAATCTGTATGAAGGATAGACAGAATTTTTAGAGAAAGTAAAGGATATAAAGTTTATTGTCGTATTTTTTTTATTATGGAAACATATTATAAAACGTCAGTTAGTCTAAAAAATTCCATCAATTCAACTACTCACACTTAGTTTCATCAAACGAAATGGTAGTATAAGGAGAAAGGAGAAGATGATTCATGAAAGATTCTGGTGTATGAAGAACTCTCAAAGTTTTTAGAAACACTCATCCATTTCTAGCCGTGTTTTAAGGTTGATCATACTCGCCCTAGGTGCTGAGAAAATTGTCAGTAGAATATTGACACTACTCAGGTTTTATCTGAAACTCATCTGCAGAGTTATTACATTAAGACTGGTCTTTCAAACTAAGGTTTTCTACTATAGCCTTATAAAGAAGCATACTGATTGTACTTGGCAGTGAAAATGGATATGCAGGTCTACTAGAATATATTAAATATCACTTGATCAATGAGTAATACGTCATGAAAGAAGGTTTTGTAAATAAAAATTAGTCTTGAAGAAGTTTCCTGCAAATTTTTATCTCTTCTGGAAGATAGAACCTACATTAAGCTGAAAATAACTGAAATGAAATGGCCAACAGAGAAACCTACACTTAAAAGTAGAAGTTTTGACCTTCAAGTTTCAATTGATACTTCTGTGACGTCAGGATGATCTTGGTAGGCAGATTAGTGTTGCAGTTAGTTAATGAGAATAATCTTCTAAGCTTTCTTCCCAGCGTACATTTATGCATATTAAAATACCTTTTATATATTACTCATTCTCGCTTCATCAAAATCGTTCTCGCAGTCACTGACAGTTCTTTGCCTTCTAATATTTTTATGGCCTAGTGAACTACAAGATATTTTAAGAAAGATGCGTTATTTATATATGCATTTCAGAAGCATTCACGTTTTCAGTACCCTAATTTAATTATTTACATCCAAAAATCAAATCTGTCACTTAAATGACAATGTGTGATATGGTTTAGACTGTTAAAATATGCTAATAAATATGCGAACAGTAACCAGAAGTCTCAACCCTAATGGTTTCTTGCTTACTGAAAAACGGAATAAGTAAACGTGATGAGATCATTTAGTTCTCATCAGCTCGCAAAAAAGATGTTGAATATTGGACGTGATAAGGTGATAGGTGTATTGAAAGGTCAAGTGTTTCGAAAAATATGCTGATATATATACGATGGCTGTTGGCAAATTTTATAGAAGAATATTCTGCACTGTATTTATATTCTTAACGGATTTGATTTTGATACGATGACATGACTACTATAGACACTTAAGGTTGTGAGAATTTTCAAGGATTTTATACCGATTTGAAGAACCTATGCCACAAAACTGTACAACATAGCACAATAAATACATATTATTTTTATTATTATTTGTCCTTTAGGTTCCTAGTGGAACATAAGGCTTCAGTAGCACATCTACAGTGCGCTATGTCCTCTGAAATATTTTGAACCTGGCTCCACGACAGCCCACAAGATCTCATTTCCTCCTCGCACAATCTCGCCCATGTCATCCTCAGCCAGGACACCCAACTCTCGCTTCCCATTCCACTTCCACTCGAGTGCCTCACCTGGTGCCTGGTGTCCCTGAATGGTCTACTCAGTGCATGCCCAATCCATCCCCACTTCCTTCCAATGCATACTTGTTGGGTGATAGGTACTTGGTTGGTTCGTGGCCTGGCCAGAGTTCCTTGTTGCTGATTCCTGTTATTCTGGTCATCTCATCTGAGCTTCAGTAACGAGCCAGCGTAGACACTTGCTGATGAATATCTGCAGTTTGTTGGAAACCCCTTTCATAACGCACCAAGTCTCTGAGCTATACAGAAGCACTGACTTGACGTTGGTGTTGAAAATCCGGATGTTGTTCCACATGTTGAGTGCAGGAGATCTCCACACTGGTTTCAGGCTAACGAACGCCTGTCTTGCTTGCTTTTCCGATTCTGGCTGGCTTTGACATCCTCGTCTGTGCCGCCGCCTGCAGTTGGAACAGTGCTACCTAGATAGGTGAGGCAGGTAACTGCCTTTAAGTTTCTTCCGTTCATAGTGACTGGAGCTTGTTGTTGTTGCTGTTGTTGTTGTAGTGTTGTTGTTGCTGTTTGTTGGGTATCTTCACCACCTCTGTCTTCTCTATATTCACTTGAAGTTCCATCTTCCCTGCTTCCCTGCCTCTCCCGTCAACTTGTTGGTTTTTGCCCGTAGATCTTCAGGTTTGTGTCACATTAGACGTAAGTCGTCGGCGAAGTTCAAATCTTTTATATAAATAAATAAATAAATAAATACATAAATATAGTTGAAATGGTGTGTGTGTGTGTGTGATCGACATGGAGAAACCAATGAAGAACTCCACGTTAAGCACTACAAAATGTGATCCTACCAACCTAAAAAGGTCAGATATATTCTCATTCGACTTCCTTATTGGCAGTTTTTACCATCATGCCAGCCCACTGGATCATAAGTTATAATTCGAGAGTTGGTCTATCCTTCTTACACCTTCCTTTCTAAATACTATCACCGATAACTACGGAAAACTCGATAGTGTCTGTCGTCCACTAATGGAAATCCGTTTCTCTCACCAGCCTGTCAGTCAGTCAGGTTGTTTTCTGGAACAACGTGTTTCAACACCTTCCTCTGAATCTTTCAAGGGAAACCTGAGTTTGAAGAGTACATAGCAAGAATAATGTAGATGACCTGACCAGCTAAAGTGAAGTCTGAAAGCAGTGTTCTGCGAACACACGGGTTATAAATTCTACACATCTGTCCATAAGTTACATCGCTGGAATTTTTCATGTGGCATTACTCAATTACTTATTTATCATACAGTTTCCAGCCGTTCTCTTTCAGATGAACGATGTGTGCATTATCCTGGTTAAGTGAGCATTTCACAAATTTTGTTTCCATGCGATGAAAAGACTTTTCTTCTTATATTTCGGCTACTTAAAAATGATTAAAGTAACATGAAAAGGCTTCAAAAAATCACCTGCAGATAGGGTGTGGTTAACATTTGAGAAATGTAAAAATTGGACGAAAATGTGAAGGGACCACTTTATTTCAGTTCCACTTTTCCAACTGAAAGTCATTAGAATATTCTGGTTGGAACGAAGACAAACAAGTGATGGTTTACATGTCTGCCTCTTGATCCGTCCTACTACGAGTCAACATGGATGTAGATGTTACAGACTTCAACAATATTTCTAGATTTCAGGCTGGTATTCATCATGAACTGACGTCAGATAGAGAATCACTAGGGTTCTAGGAGCATTGGACAGCCGTCTGGCCTTATTGTGGGACACTTCAACAGTGAGCATCTATGACGTCATCTCACAAGGGATCAAACCCAGGACCTTCTGGTTGCTTGGTCAGCATGTTAACGTTGATCCAGTGGGTCAGAATCCGGTGGTGCATATTTCATTTTTCTGTCAGTTGACGATAAAGTGTGACCTCCATCCAATGCTGTTGTTGAGCTTCTGTCGTCATGTTCGACCTAGTTGACTCCTTTGGTGCCGTCTTCACACTGGAACTTAGAGAAGTCTAGTAAAAATGATATTTATTCCTTAGGAGTTTAATATTTCTCCCCATTTTAAAAGACATCAAATTAAGGAACGTCGTGTAAGAAACGCCAGGTTTATCAGTTGTATGGATGCATTTATCACTGATATTTTCTCATTCCACCCCTCATATTCTCCTCTTAAATGCTTTTGGCAAGAGGTATTTGAAATACCCTTTCTATGTTGTTTACTTTTTGTCATTCAAGTTGATGTATTTCACCTAACTAGTAAGTACTTCAAAGTGCATAATGTCTAATTTAGAAATTTAATACCATGCTATGTAAGAAGGTTATTGGCTTTTTTTATATCCTTTATTCCACAACAAATTTTGTTGAGAACAATTTGTGCTAAGACGTCCATCGTGATCATATGTTTGCTACAGTGTCAAAATTTCTTCATACGTCAGCCTCTAAAGATTTAAGGAGTTGCATTGAGTAATCACTGGAGGGTAATCAACTTCAAGTTATCGATTCCTAAGTGCTGATCGAATTCTATTAGTCATATTTTGGAAATTTCGCCACCAGGCTAGGCGACTGATTAGTGCGACACACTTTTGGTTTGTGTCAGTTAGATGAAGACAATTGGTAGCAAGCCCTGGACCCAGGTTTTGTGCTTTTTGGCAGTTGTCACCAAAAGATACCTGCAATTCCTACCGAATTGGTGTTCCATCTGAGATACAAACCTGCGTCACTCGTTGCTCTAGTCAAAGACGTTACCACTAAGATATTTGGGTCACGAATGATCTCCTATCGGACTAGAATAGGTACATTAACTAAGCATTGATCATTTCATATTGACTTCCACGACTGGCAACTTATTGCGATGCATAAGGTTGTTGTCATCAATGATTCCATTTCCAAAAAGCCCCTTAGTAATAATAAAAGTTGTAACTCTTTTACTGCTATGTATACATGCCACTTTCGAAAAAAATTTTCAAAATGTTGGCAGTGTTTACGGTGATACATAATTGTGAACAATTTTGTGATTGCTTGCCTGATCTGTAAAACGGATCATTGAGACTAGAGGAATCTACTGTAAGATTTTCCAATGAGTTTTTCAAGTGGTTTCTTTTGGAGATGCGTCACGCATATGAAAATGATACATTTCAGCTCAATAATAATAATAATAATAATAATAATAATAATAATTCACTTTATTCCAAACAATTTGTGGTACAATTTGGAATTCTCAGCTTTATTTATAAGAGCAATTCACGAATTCTGACTACTAAACAAAGTTGGAAATATAGATCACTGGATTTCGAGCCAGTGGCTCAATAGTAACGTATTAGCCGCGGGAAGTGAATATGCTGGTTTCTATCCCTGATGGAGTGGATTCAATGGTGGGTACTGCTGAGGAGTCCGATACTGGGACAAAACAGCTGCTCAATTCTTCCAGGTTTCTAATGTTTCTCCAACTGATGTTAGCCCAAGAAGGATACCAACTTGATACCAAACAAAGCCTCAAGATATCATTCTGAAGAACATGCTATGTAGCAGTGATCAGGATTATAGACGAAAATCAGTTTGTGTACTCTGGTAAGCCTTCGCAACATCCGATGGATGGATTCAAATCTAGATGCGTTAACCAATACGTATGGTTATATATAAACAGGGAAGACCAATTGATCCATGAAATTCGAGGTCATACACTACATTCACAAATAGCCACAGCAATAAATCAATGATCCCGTTAGCTCAGGCAACAGATATACAACGCCATATATATATATATATATATATATATATATATATATATATATATATATATATATATATATATAATCAGTGCAATAGATCACAAGGTTGATCTTTACACATCTGTGAAACGTGTTTAGATCGGTTTTTTGGATTTGTGACTTTAAGGAATTTCGCATCACTTTTATATATTCGGAAACAATTTTTTATTATGTTAAGCCGTCCTTGGTAATTCAGCTTTAATACCAAGTTTGTTTTACATGTGATACTTTAGATGTCGGACCTGTAAACTGACAGTTTGATGCCTTATTATATCCATTACTTTCTAAACCTATTATTCTCTTGATACTCCGTCGTTAGTTGGACCGAATTGGTGGACTACTACTGTCATACGGGCTACTATGTGGATGCCTCAATATTGCCAGTATATTCGAAAACTGATATTAGTGATAAACAGTGACTAGTAGTGAAACTGAGCATGAAGGTTTTGTTCCATTTGAGATTCGTCAGCGCTTGATGTTGGGTTTTAGTTCTGTCGGGGGGAGGTACACATGGCTGACGAGTCTCAAATGAGATGAAACATGCATCCTGGATTCCACTACTAGCCAATTCTTATCATTAATAGTATTATTTTTTTTATTATAATTCATATATGTATAGCAAGTAAGTGTATGATCAGACTGTCCGAAATGTGTTGTGCCAATATATCACACGTTTTGTATAAACTACATCTTGTTGTCTTGTAAAAATTTACAAATGGGACTAATTTTACAAACTATGGGAGTTAGATATGAGTTGTTTAAATATTTTGTTGTTCAAATGTTATTTTAACATGCAATAAGCTGAAAGTTAAGCATAAAGGTGATATAAATGGGTGTTAATGGTCTCTTGGCCTCATAATATTCATTCTGATAATAACCAAGTAGTCAATGTATTAATCTTTATGATGAATTACATTTGTATCAGTTTTCGATAATGATTTTACACTTCACACATAATCAGTTTAGTTATATATTTCCATGATAAGGTATACGAAGTTGATGAACATGCCAAACCAGTGCTGACATTTTAAGGCGGTGCATTCAGACTTCCTAACGACTGTGTACAACATTTAAGTGAATATTGATTTCAAGCCACAGATTTTTGAAGTCATTGGATGATGAACTCAAATAAATTATTGTTATAGTATGCAAAATGATTGCTCAGATCCTCTTAGGTTGCTCTTAAACCATGAAGCCTTTAAAATCAATCGTTTCGCTCTAAAGCTGCAGGTAAAAGCATATGAACCAACGTATAAATTTTAGGTTGTTTACAGTGATAAAAATCAATAGAATATTTCAATATTCAAGGTGATTGTAAACATATATAAACCGTTATGTTCTGTATATGTCTTGACAATGGAGTCTACCTTCTGTTACCTTATCACCTTTTCCATTTATTGAGAAACTAAGCAACCATCGAGGGTGGAATCTGCTGGTCACTGTTTAAGTCTCTCTCTCTCTCTCTGTATATATATATATATATATATATATATATATATATATATATATATATATATATATATATATATATAGTTTTTATAAATATAAGATCCAGGTTATATCATATAGTCAGTATAAACATATAAAATGTGGCACACATATGTCCTTAAAAAAGTGGTGTGAATTCAGTAAAACTATGAGTGTAATCTTATTGAAAATGTATGCAAACCTAAGTACATTTATCATAGCGAAAAGATCACCACTAATTTGTAGTATACATCTGAGGTTAAAATCCTTTGATCAGAAATTTATGGTGGTCGATAAAATTATTCATATTAAATGATGATTGAAGATGAAATGAGAATTTAGACCACAGTTGGATTCGACCACCAAATTTCCAGTCCGATGTTCTATCATTTCAGCTATGAAGTCTTATCAAACTGTTCTCACAACTCTTTGTGGAGCAAAAAAAAGGCTTGTGTATCAGATAAAGTCATTTAAAGGTCTATAAAAACAGTAACAATTGATTGGTTGAACTTAGTCTTTGAAATCTACAAAGAACTAAGCATGAAAAGATAATACCTGCAGTCCAGAAGAAGACTACCTAGAATTCTACATGCTTCGAACAAGTAACATCTAGATGAATATTTTCTACTATAAGCTGGAAATCGAGAGTAAGACCATTAATTCAATCAAAATAAATATAGATTCATTCGATAATCGTTATAAATTTCATCAGACAAAATTACTACTTGAATCAAGGCAAAAAATGGACTGACTTACTTTGAAGCGTTTCCAAATCCATAGGTAAAGATAACCAAAAAGTATCTTGATAGTCTGTGGTATCATGAAAATCATAGTAAACATCTTTGTTAGGATGCACCTATTAGATTAATAAACAATAAAAGCTGGATTAACAAACTGAATTACTGTCGACTGTTCATTAGTGACTTGCTACAAGATGAGATTTTCTCAATTTCTAATGATAAATCATTACCGATGGGGAGAAATTCCAAGTAGAATGTGATGGGAAATACTCAACGATGCCATTGGATGAATGGTGGGATATATCATAAATTGACTGAAATAAAAAAACTATGAACTATTGGATTCCAAATGAGTAGCTCAATGGTAATGTGTTCGATGAGAACTCTGCAGGTGCTGGTTTAGATCCCTATTGGGGGTGATGAGTGTGCACTGTTGAAGGTCATGCTATGACGAATTGACTGTCCTTTTCTCCTAGGTCTTCAATGTTTCTCCAACCTAAATGAGTCTATGATGAATACCAAATTGAAGCCAATAAAATCTCCACAAACCTCCATACTGAAAAAGCGAATGTGTTAAGATCATAGTGATCACCAGTAATTGGTATTTTTATGGACCATTTTAACTCTCTGGTAATCAAATAGTTGGTTCATAGTAGTAATCTGTGCACCTGTCACAGCTGAAATCTGTGTAGTACTCACTAAAACATATTAAGCAGTGGAACATTTCAATCGAATGACCTAGGTTATTAATTGTGTGACTTGATGATATAATCCTGCTGTTATGCTTTGTGTTTCTTTTAAAAATATTGCTGAATGGGCTATGTTAGATAACCTTGACTGACAGACTGATGATGAAGTGAGGAGCGGGTGAATGCAGTTGGCAGCTAATGTGCATGACAGAATAAATGAGATTGTCCATTTAGTAATCATTCGCACAGTATTCTACAAACTAGTTTATGGGACATCCGTCTCAAATATAAGCATGTTGGACCGCTTTTCAATGGATCAACTTTATAGAATACAGTAATAAAAACATATTAGTCCTTCCTGTGCCAAGCATTTGGTGTTGATTCTGTAAACAGAGAGTCGGTTGTCAGTCTATCCCTCTACTTCACCAAGTAAGTTTAAAGGATTGTCACTCTTTCCCGTGTCGTTATGTGGTTGTGTGTAGCTGTTTCTCCTTAGATTCCTCACCTTATTAGTATATACTAATCTTGATTTAGCTAAGCTTTTCTGCTTGGACGGTCTAATGGCTCCTGTTTGACTACTTTGACCTATATATTTAACCTCACAATCATGCAAGGTATTTCTTAAGTTGAATTATTTTATTTAATCGGATCAACAAGATCTTTTAACTTATAAAGTCTGTTTCTAAACTAGTTTATCAGCTTTATAACGCTACCGAGGTGGAATCTTTGTATGGTAACACAGTAGAGGTCTTAAATTCTCTCTTCATAATATTGTCATATTAGCAGTGATGATGATAATAACAATAGTAATAATAACAACCAAATTTAAGCAACAGGAATGACTCAGCAACTGTTCCGGATTAATGAGAAATCCTACTCTCAACGTCACAAAGGAGACAAGAAAATTAGAAGTACGTATATCATACCTCAAGGCTGTAGAGTTATCTTGACATGATAAAAACAACAATAACGTGTGTCCAAAACATTATCCAGTCGATAATACTGTTCCACTGTGTGAAACATCTAATAAATTAACTGAAATACCTTGCCTATGTTTCAATTCTATTTTGTTGTCATGTATAACTTCCCTAGAGAAGGGAACGTTTTCACTGTATTGCTCAAATCTAATCTAGAGTGATGCTGTCAGTCTTGATATCGGAAGTAAGCTTTTACGACTATGAATTCCTACAATTAATCTGTTTCTGAAGTCATATTGCTTAGTGGAAGCTTAGGTTGGTCTGTTCCCTGAAATAAACATTGTAGATGCTATTTGTAAGAATTGTATTTTTTCTACTTTTATTTACTTATTGATCAGTACATCATATTCTCAAGCACTACCTTTACTATAAGTCAATTCATGGTTCACTGTGGGTCTTCAAAATGTCCACTCATAATTAAGTTCTGTCGAGTAGTGGACACATATTTGACACTTGTTCTGAGCTATTCTTATTAAACTCGAGCCTAACAGTATCAATTAGTATAACTGTTTTATATCATACCTTCGTTGATTGGACCGAATTGATCGGTCTTTATTGGCATATGGGCTCCTGTGCGGATGCCTCGATGTTGCTGCGTTGTAATTATATTAATGATGGATCATGCTAGCAGTGGAGTCCAGGATGCACATTTCATCCTATTTGGGACTCGTCAGCTGGATGTACCTGCTTCCCAGTGAGTGATGTTGTTCCCATCGATATTTCGGACTATACCCGTCGCGCAAGAAGCGGCTATCGTGGCTCGGTGGTGTAGCGGATAACGCCCTGGAGTTTGAAGCGATCGCTCTTGAGTCCGAATCCCGGTGGGAACAAAACCACTCACTGGGAAGCAGGTACATCCAGCCAACGAGTCCCAAATAGGACGAAATGCGCAACCTGGATTCCACTACTAGCCACGATCCATCATTAATATAACAGTATCAATGTTGTTCTTATACAATATTTGACGAAATAGTTGGATAGAAGGTCAGAAAAATGATTTATATTGTACCCGAAACCATAACATTTCTGAATAAAGCCTAGATTTACAACGTTTACTTCTTGTCAAACAGAGTTGTGGGTAAGTTGTTGCTGGCCTTGGTTTCTTCTACTAACTAAGCCTTTTAGTGGTTTAATCTGTGGAATAAGAATTTAAGTTGTTTGATAGAAGTTATGGCCTGGTAGTTGTATCCAAGTCACATGGCTGTCCAATAACCTCGCATACTGCTAAAGTCACTGAAATCTCACGCTCCCTTTGTAAATGAAATTGTCGTGTCAGAAATATAATGAGGTGCACATTTCATCGAGCCATGGTAAAATATGAATATTGATACTGGGAGATGATTCAGTGTAAGATGAATATCTAGGTTGTTGAAGGATTTAAACTAAAGACCTACGGGTTATCGGCTCGGTGATCAACCAACTGAGCGATGAGACTCATCTGATGACGAGATATTAATTTCACTTCAATTATCCAAAGATTGTGCCCTACTGCCACATAAGTTCTTGATGCTTAACTATCCGTTCACCTTATTCATATTGGTTGTTTAGCCAGGACTTGTCATCCACCTGAAGTAGAGAGGGAGAGAACATTATATTGGTTATCAGTTTGACTATCTGAGGTAACCGTATCAATAATATAAGTCTGCCAAACCACGCCTATCTCAGATAGTCAAGCTAATAGTAATTATGAATATCACAATATACTATCTAAATTATACCGTTTGTTAGGACAAGTTTATACACCAGACGATGTGGGTCAATTACTCGACATCTGTAAAGCCAAATTTCAAGGTTGTTCGTATTTACTAGCTAAAAGATAACTATACGTTTGGGCAAATTTATGGCTTCTGAGAGACTTAAACCTGTTTTTCACTGCTAAGTGAATCAAGGCGTTCTCCTGCAAAGCATTGCAGTTGGATTTACATGCTGAAACTACCTTCTGAAGGATAAACAAAGTTTCATAGCTGAAGTGCCTCTTCAGTGTATACATTATTGATTTATTTGACATTAGTGAGAAATAATGGGGATTTTATTTATTACCATCGCAACTATAACAGAACTACTTATCTGAACAATAGCCATATCAAGAAAGCTATACAATATCTAAAACTGACTGCCGAAGGGCATGGTTATTGGTGAACTATGACTAGTTAATTTGGTTGGACCGAGGTAACTGAAATAGAATGATCAGTTTGGAAATTATTTAGTGACTATATAATTCCCCTCAACATTTGTTACTCATCCCCTGTCTAACTCAGTCAACAAAATTCACATGGATTGAACAATTCTCTTCTGTGAGCTGAATGTTTCTTTGGGGGATACTGATAATCAGAACTCTAAACGAGTGAAACATCTATCTTCCGTTTAGATCTCACTTATCCGGCTAGCGAAATTTACACACCCACCTACTTCATTTCAGTGGTTCATGACACTTTAGTGTGTCAGAGATGAAAGTTTATGATTTTGGCTTGGTAGTTACTTCTTAACAAAACCTTGCTAACATAGAAGTTGGTCACTTGAAAAACCATTCTGCTAAGAGAAAGGTAGATGTTTACCGTGTAGTAAACAATTATCGAATTTACACAATATATACCTCACCAAAAACGAAGAATTATCCGTTAATGAAGGATCCAAGAGATAGTTTTCTTCAGAAATCTGCTCGTCCATTTGTAGCACAATTATTTGTTTGAGTAAACAGTTGAAAGGTTTACCGAATATATCACAGTTTTTCATTGATCAAAGTACGAATTAAGGTCATGACTAGTAAAGAAAATTATTTCACTTGATCTTCTAAACGTCTCGTGACTATAATTGTTAGATAAGGTCATTTGAAGAGCCAATGAAAAGTGGTCAAGAAAACACAATAGAAAATTGAAGACTTAAGTGTACAGGTAGCTAACACATACTAATCGAGTCTTTAACTACAATGCGAAAAAAGAAATGAAAGGAATTCAATCAACAACCTTTTGCGCTTTCATGCACTTGGAATTGAATCACATCTAATATGTGCGAACCAATGATGTTACCTGACTACTTAAACTTTTGTAAACAGAGAGAAAATTAAACCTGTGACATTCTAGTTGGATTTCAAATGCATAGACCATCGAACCGCAGCATTACAAGAATTTCGGTTTCGAAATAGTAGCAATGACTCTGCAACACAAAATTATCTGCAGCAATATTTCGTTAGAAGCTCCAAAACATACTGTGGTACGGTAATTTAGTAGAGAAAGGAAGAAAACAACTTAATGAGGGTCTTTAAGCAGAAAGGTCACTTGCGCAAATTTAGCCATCATCTGGCTTATAAGTTCATCTTTCATCATCATTCAGTAGGATATGGTTTCTGTACAACTTTTAAACACTTCAATGTGAAGTGGATGCTGATTTAGTTTTACAGGCTGGTGGTAAAAAGTTGGATAACAAACCTTAAAGCTCGCAGAATATCAAATACAACTATGATCAGTATAGCATTATTCGGGCTGATACAAAGGTTTTTAAGATAATTTTTTTCCAGGTTACTCATAATGAATACGTTAGTAACATTTGGACCCTGGGACAGTTTCAGCATGTTCACAAATATTCGCATAAAGTTAGTCAGAATAATTCACTACATGCAATATACCAATGTCTGATATGGGAAATTTTAAGTCACTCACACCAGTCAGTAGTGTTCGCTAGCCAAACTGAAGTGATCCAACAACGGTTGACCGTTTTGTTTGGAACTAAACTCGTCAGTGATTCACTCACACTGATAAGACTCACACAGTCGAAGCACTCAAAGTACTCGAATTTCAGCTAGTTACGTGATCGGACCTGTTTCTATAGGAAGGTTTGGTGAGCTTTTTTATCACGGACTATGTATTCTGTTAAAGTTCGACTTGTTAATTTACTGTGGTTTAAAATGCTGTCACATACTATAATTAAATATCTTTGCAGCTAAATGAAGTACGCTAGTTTTATGATTAAATAAGACCTTTTTAAATAATATCCATCCATACAGGCGATTTTCAAACAATTAGTTGGATGATTCCAGAAAAGGTTTAACTGGAAAGTATATTTCGACTGATGAAATCAGCAGAATCCCCACAAAACCTCTAAATTTACTTACTATGCAAGACTTATTAGGCGATAAGATTTCTTGAAGTTCTAGTCAGAAATCGTAACCGGTAGGGCTAAAAACCAAGTCGAACGTGAACACAAATACTAACTGATGGTAGGTCGCTATATATAGCAGACTAACAGAAGTAGGAAACTATGGACCATTGGATTCCAGCTGAAACTTGTTCATTAAGAAAGCTGAAAGTGGTAGGTTGGATCACTGGTAAGATGTTGGATATGGTCTTCTGATGAGAGGTATACTTTGATAAACCAGCTCTTTACATCTCTCAAGTCTTTAATTGTTATAAATCCTATGTTAGTCCTTAATGAATACCAAATCGAATTCAATAAACTCTTCGGGAATCCTCTGAACAGGAAATTATTAATTGAAGATTCATCACTTGAACATGTTGATGAACAGTTCCGACAGAATTGAAGTATAAAGAATTTTAGAGTGCCCAGATAGTCTGCATCCTGGCAGATCGATGATCTACCGGAAATTAAGGTTCAGCAAAAATGCTAGATATCATATGCTTTTCTCTAGGTTGAATCGCTAAAGCGTCAACATGATAACAAGAAAAGTCATTTGATATGAATAAAAGTTAGCTGTATATGCATCATTCTGGTTATCGTCTTTATAAATATTTGATAAATATCTAGAACTGTTTGTGAAATGACAGTCTTTCTTAAATTTTTAAATCTCTTAAAATTTGGGAATTTAAATACTATAGTTTAAGGAACTGTGAGTGAGATAAGCACACACAAGTGGTCTTTTCCTACATTATATGGATTTAAAAAGTGATAGAAGTGTTCAAAGTCAAACCTGACTGGTGTTCCAACTTTAAACAATTTGGGAGCCCCAGAACTACTTCAATTTGACCGTCTAGATCACATATTTACAACGAGTTGCTTGATGTATATAGGCTTTCTATGAAAACTGTTACACGAAATGAATCTGTAGATTTACAAGTATGTTTTAGTTAGGATTTATCGATTAACGTTTTACGTACAAGCTACTATCAACTAATTGTTTGCAGTCTGAAGGTCAGATTGTATTCATTTCACTATTTAATTTTTTTCATTCTTGTACACAAGTAACCACTTGTGATTGACATTTTAGTTCTTGGAGCTGGATTATTGGTTCACTAGTTACTAGCCGGTCCAAAGCCTAGGTAGAGAAAGAAGGTTGGGCACAAGGCTAGCAACCCTACCCCGTAAAACCAATCCAATCGCTAAAGAAACTTCAAAGCACAAAACATTCCTCACTGGAAGCGAAGAGACTAAATGACACCGGTTGGTAAAAGCCTTTGGGAAACCAGTCGGCCAATGAGTCTTCTGTCGATGAAAGCGAAAATAAAGGGTGGGGACATGGAATGTCTGCACCATGTATGAACACACCAATGGTGACCAGATTGCGAAAGAGATGAGAAGATATGGCATGAAAGTGCTTGGAATCTGCGAAGGCAGATGAAATGGAAGTGGACTGTCCAAACTCTTAACTCGTGAGTCAATAATCTACTCCGATACTGTCAAACAGACAACCACGAGCACATGGAGGGAGTGCTTATCATGACTTCCCCAGCAACATCGAAAGTTCTCATGCAGTGGGAACCAATCTTCTCCACGACCAGGATCATGACAGCAAGATTCAAATCAAAAGGAAGGAAAGTCACTGTCATTCAATGCTACGTGCCAACATATAATCCATATGAAGAGAAGAAGGAGGAATTCTATAGGCGACTGAAATCAGTACTAGATAAGACCCTACCCAGGTTGGCGACATCGAAATTCTAATGGGTGACATGAATGTCAAACTCGGAATGGACAACACAGGAGGAGAAGTGATCATGGGTAGAGAAGCACTCAGTGAAATGACAAATGAGAATGGAGAACTGTTTGCTGACTTCTGCGCATTCAACGATTTGGTGATTGGAGACAGTGTGTACAAACACAAGGATATTCACAAAGTGACATGGACTTCACCAGATGGACACATTAATAATCAGATCTACTTCATCTCAATCTGAAGAAAGTGGAGACGCAGCCTACTGGACACAAGATCAGATCAAGAAGGGGAGCAGATGTAGGTTCACACCACTCACTATCTAGTGCACTGAACCTTCACAATCAAGTTGAAAGCCTCGAAAGAAGTTGATGATAGGCCACAGTTCAAGTTCAACATCCAGAAACTGAAGGACAAAACTACGAAGTACACCTTCACGTCAGCCATCAGAAGAAAATGTGAGATATTCATCAACGTCCCTGAAGGATCAGCCATGGAGGAATACTGGAACTCCTTCAAAGCTATATGGAAAGAAACCTGCACAACCGTACTAGGAATTAAGAGGAATGAAGACAAGGAATGGACATCGACGGACACATGGAAGGTGATAGAGGAAGATGGTGAAGCAGAAGATGAACCAGTACAAGGATGCACAACACAAAGAAGAACTGAGTATAACTTACAAAACACTGGACAAAGAAGTGAAGAAGAGTACACGCGAAGGCAAGAGACACTTCCACGACACATTGGCAAGTGAAGCAGAACCGGCTGCTGGTGGGAAAGACCTGACAACACTATATCAAATAACCAGGTTACTGTCTAGGAGGGAAGAGATCAGCGCAGACGAAACCAATGCAAGATAGTGAAGGAAACTTAGTTACCAAAGAGGAGAAACAAAGGAAGAAATGGGCTGACCACTTCAAGAAACTCTTGAATCGACCACCACCTCCAACTCGTCCAGAAATATCACCAGCAACGCCAGAACTACCATTGAACACAGGCTCTCCGACAAAGGCTGAAGTCCTGAATGCCATAAAGCTACTGAAAGGTGGGAAAGCAGCAGGACCAGATGGAATTCCGTCAGAAGCACTGATAAAAGCAGCAGAGATAACAGCGGATATGTTCATGCCACAATTGCAGAAGGTTTGGAAGGAAGGAAATGTGCCTGCAGATTGAAAGAAGGGCTACTTCGTCAAACTTA